ATAAAAAATTTTCACCTGTATTTGATTATATCTAATTAAGTGATAAAACGATGAAAATGTTCGGTTTAAAAATTCAGACATCGCGTCGGCGAAAATAGGAAGAGGAGGAGGGCAAAAATCCAGCAAAAACGAGTGATAAGGAAGAGATGACTCTTGTTTAGAACTCGTACAAGTTTGATGTATTTTATTAATTAAAAAGTTGTTTTCTTAAAAGTAACCGATCTCGTGCGAGGACATTATAAATTAAATTAAATTAATTGATATTTTATCAATTAGAAACGGGCATACCTCATCCTCGATTCGATAATAAATAATATACAGTTATAAATATGTCGGCCAAAGAAAGAAAATAAACGACCGTCGACCTACATAAATTCAAGAAAGGATTTATGGGGCGAGTCTCTAGCCTTCGAATGTTGGAGATACGAGAGGGAGAAAGCTACACAGCTGGTTCTGCCGTGCCTAGAAAAATGCAATAATAATAGGATTGCTTTTGCTCGAGCGGAAATCTCGCGTGGTAAACCGACGTGACTGCAAATAACGACGAGGTTTGTCGTTGCAAGATGGAGCATAGGTGAAATGATTTTTTACCAGAAGAGGAAAAAATAAATTTCTTTAACCAATATATAAATCTAATCGTGAAAATCGTTGAACGCTGTTGCACTCTCGATTGAAAATTTCCAAAATAAAATTTTATTCCATCGGGTTTGATATATCGATAATTCGTTTAATTGTTCTTTACAATATAATTATCACATTGATACGAAGATAGTGTATATCTGAAATGATATAGGAACGTGTTGATTTGAAGATTTTCCGTTGAAAGACGAAACTTGCCGTAGGGGAAACAGTTGAGTCTCACTGTGTGCAAGTAGCCTAGGTACAAGCGTTTCCAGGCGAAATTAAATAGCTCGTAACTTGAAAAATAAGCTCCAACCAAGGGTTTTGCATATATGAACTTTTTCTCTTGTTTCAACGCCTTTGGAATTGATATATACAATTATTCCAGAGACGTTCCATACACATTTTAATACTTTCTACCTCATTTCTACCGCAACCTCATCCTCATCCACCAATATTTTCGTTACCTTATTTTTCGAACGCGATTAAAATTCTTCCAATAGTCGTTTTCGTTAAAAGGAAACGTTGAACGAAACGTTCGATGGTAACGAAGAAGATTATACGGGGTAATAAAAATGGAAACCTTAATAATGGAGCAAATTGGATGAAAAATAGCACTGGTACAAATTACAACTTTCAGAGCCGCGATTACACGATGACAGTGTATATAGGATAACCGTGATAAAGGGAGAAGTAGAGAGGGGGAAAAAAAAATCATCCAGTACTTTTTTACCCCACACTCTTCTCCCCGATCTTTGTCGGCTAATTAATTTACTCCCTTTACTAGGAAGCGAGTCGTGTGCCGAGGAATGGAAAATTTAAAAAGTTATTAAAATTTTCTTCGTAACGTAAGTGCCGTTAAAGAAACAAGCGATAGATCGTGTAATTTTAACGGTGAAGATCTCAAAAATTTTCTCGAGTTCTCGTAATCCAGATACCCAAGTAATAGCTTATAAGAACTATCAGATATATTCCTTCCTTGGAATAACTTCTTCCAAGATCCTTTTAAATTAACAACGAAATCGACTGGATATTATTAATCAGCGAAAATCATTATCGTATGATTAAAATTGTATAATTTTTCGAAACTTCGCTTAATACTTTTCAATATTGAACAAAAATACTCAATTTATTATTATTAGTATTACATCGTCACGTCTGATCACGGACGGGTTCAAACTACTAGCAGTCCAGATATAGCAGTCTAGCAAGAAAAGGAAAGTAGTATAAGTCGACATTGATCGGACTGTTGATCGCAGATCGTCTCTTTCAATTCTTCGAACTTCAATTTGTAGCAAAAAAAAAAACTCATTTTTATTAATATCGCACGCCATTCATCGTTATCGATCATATAAAATCAACTTGGCAGAAATCTAAAAATGGATTTTACGAAATTTCCAATTTACTCTTACACCGTATGGTAATACTGGAAAAGATGGTGCGTTAGATGGAGGCGTGGATGTCACGTTACGCAAAGGATGGAAATCCCAGAACGCGATTTCGCAGAGGGAAGCGGTAAAGTGAAGAGTAAAGTGCTTCGATCGTGGCACGTAACTCGCGTCGCGACATTATCGTTGGGACGCATTATAGGCGCGCACACGCGCGTCGCTAAACTGTTTAATGCGAAACTCGCGAACGATCGTTTAAGCGGTCGGCGAGGGATTTTAGTACGCTGCATCGCGTTAATATCCAGCCCGGGACGTCTCGATTTTATCTACTCGATACAGAGAGGATGGAACGGATATCGGTCAACCTCTATTCGAGAAAAATTACGGAAGGAAGATGGGACGAAGGAAGTTGCGAGAATTTTGCGAGAATGTCGTTCGATCCACGTAAGGTGCATTAAATCTGTTTGATTTGTGTTCGACACGATAAAGAATAATAAAGTAGAAGAAAAGTATATAAATTTCGTTTCCTATCATATTTTTGCACGATTAAATTGTTACTCTTAAATTTAGATTGAAAGAAACTTGCAAAGAAGCCGAGACGATAACGTGACCTTCACGTGACTTTGAGCAAGTAATGGAAGGGAAAAATAATTTCTGTTCGCGCGACAATAAGAGATTATAAATTTTTTGCACGCAGTTGGTTAATACGAACTGAACATTATCGGATTATTGGAAATTTCCTAGAAATTAATTTGCGGTAATAAAACCGTACGTTTCCCCCGATCGCGACTTACAATAACTTACAATCTTATATAGTTGGAATAATATCGTTGGTAATTAATTTTTGATATTTTAATTTTCTCCTATCACGTTTTTTATTCCCCAAAATCCTTTCCATTAGATCCTCGGATAAATTGTGTCATCGAATTCGCCAGTTTCTCATGCATATTCCAAGAGTTACATCTTTAACGGTCACTTGGCTGCACGTCGCGTCGGTTCGCGTGGAATAAATTATTTCTTCTTCCTCTATAAATTTCCCACCGTCGTCGCTCTAACAAAATGTTAATTAGCATAAATGAAGGGAAATGCCATGTGTACAATTACCACTTCGATCAAACGTGTACAAATGTTTTCCGTTGTGTCGTTGTGCAATCTCGCCGCAAGAAGAGTTTCGTATATGCATTGTGTGTTGTACATTTCTGTGCTGTGATTTAGTAGTTTAATTGCGTCGAAATATTGTATATTTCGATTCGAGTACGATCGATTCGATAACGGAAGAAAGAGAGCAACGAGTTGCATTCGAAGTGGACGAAAGCGATTCTAATTACAAGATAAATAGTTTTTTTAAAAAAAAAAGGGAAAAATTAGTAAAATTTTTATTTCAATTATTCATTTCGAGATCGGAACAAAAATTTGCTTAAAGGTAAAAGAGATAAATATAGAACAATTTTGATGAATCAAAATACGATTTTTGCGACATTTTTACAATCCATCAATTGGAAAATTCTTCTCATACTCTTAACCGAGTTAACCTCACCTCGATCTTCATGGAACTATTACTTTCCATCACGGGGAAAGTTTGTGCAAACATGTCCAACTTCTCTTCTCGCACACATTTCTCCCCGTTAAAATTACATCCACCGTTTGTACATACTTTCCTTTAATCTTCAATAAAATAATGTAAATTGATAAAAGGGTTTTAACAAAGTTGCATAAATTTACATTTCGAATCCTTATTCTTCGATTACCTCGCATCAATCGTTTATTACCATCACTCTTCTTATTTTCACGAAAATTTATTCAGAATTAAACAGAAACGTGGAAAAAAGGAAAACTACTTTTTCCGCTAAACTTTATCCAACAAACAACATAAATTTTAAGCGCATTTACGAAAATGTGAAAATGAGGTTATGATATCTTTTGCGCGAGAAAGTTCTAATATCTCCTAAATTAATAAGAACAAATGGGATCGTAAAATGCATATAAATCGGTGCGTAATGAAACGTAAGATAATAATATGAAGAATTTATCTCTCCCCCGTGTAAAAATTGAAATTTATTTCGTCGCGTAAATAAAAAAGACAGTTAAATAAATACTGCGGAAGCGTAAAAGAATGTACTTCCACAAGCAGCGCTCGTTTGACATCCCGCGCTATGACTCGGTGCAAGCGATTCGAACGGAAGTAGGTCATCCACTATCACGGGATTCAGGAGCTCGTCACTCGAAGAATTACTCTAAATTGCATTTAATTAAGTAATCCTATTTTCGTTTGATTCACACACGCGTCCATATTTGCGAAATTCTTGAATGAAATCATCGTTTATTAAATATAACTACAAGCACTACCGTATGAGCCAATCTCATCGATGAAAGGAATCGGAATGAATCGAATTCCTGTAGAATGATCGAGTTATAAATTTCACAAAGGAATCGTCGAGATAATTCGAGATAATAATAAAATACGAAGTGGATCAACACGTGCGAAAATATTGATTAAATATTGATTAAATGAATATTCCTTTAGATAAATCGCGAAAGGAAGCGTTGTTGTTCTTCGATCGACACCAGAGTCCTCTGGCGCGATTTTATTGAACTAATCCTAGTAATAAAAATTCCAGAGGTCGCTAAAGTGACTCGGTTGAAGTAACGTGACGAAAATAAATATAATTTCTATTTCCAACTATTATTAATTAATTAATTTGAGAAATAAAAAGATGTAAATTGTTCCAGCGTTAATAAGATATCGTGCGAGTGGCTAATAAATACCTCGGCTGCGTATTTCATTTCTAATTTTACCCAGGTGGAAATAACAGGCCGCGCGTCCACGTACGGGCGAAGGTTAAGGTTTTAAAACGCGACACGTTCGCACGCCATAAACGAAGCATCGATCGTGCCCTTGATATAACGAATCGTTTCGCCGCCCACCCGATTTATCATTCATCCCTCGAATTCAACCGCCGAGGGGGGAAAAAATGAAAAATGGACACTCACCAACACGTAGACGGCGAACGGCATTACGAGCACGGCGACGAGAAGATCGGCGACGGCCAGGCTCACGATGAAGTAATTGGTGACCGTTTGCAAGGCCCTCTCTCGAACCACGGCCAGTATAACCAACACGTTGCCGAACAAGGTCAAACAGGGGACGATGACGAGGATCAGGGCCCACCAACTGTTGGCGTCCGTCTTTTCGTCAACGTCCGCCGCCGGCCCGCACTCACCCGCACTCACCACACCGGACGACGCGATGGACGAGGTGCAGTTCACGGTTCCGTTCAGGTTCAGGTTGGCCCCGCCGTCGTAATAGGCCGTCAGATTAACGAATGCGCTGTAATTCAGTCGATTGATGTAATCGTTCAGATCGTCGAACACGAACAGGTCCGATATCCCCGTGTAATTCTCGGATCCAAGGGACGTGGGCGAGACGGACGAGAAGAAGGAGGAGGACGCAGCGCCGGGGTAGGAGGGCGAGGTGGAGGTTATCGCGGCGGCCGAGTCGTTGAACCAGCCTAACTCGACACCGCCGCTCCCCGAGAACAGGTCGTTCAACGAGGAGGTCTCCTCCTCGTGGACGGTGTTGGCCTTGGTCGCGTTTCCCGCGAGGGGGAGCTCGGCCGTTCCACGTTCAGCCCGCCGATCCAACGACAGGCTCCTCGCGATCGAACCGAGCAGAGACCGGTCGCCCGTATTCGTCCCCATTTCGGATCAAACTAAACTTCTGCACCCCCGATCCTGTCCAACCTGTCGATCTTGATCACGAGATCTTGGAACGAAGGGATGGCTGTTCGATCTTGCCAAGCATGGCTGACTTTATCCCGCCTGACTCTTAACGGTCAGGTAGATTCTTATGCGTGCTGCGGTGTGGCGCCCCTCCTCGAGAGATAACATTTCCTCGCGCACGCGAGGAGAAACGAGGTGCCGCGTCCTGACTGGCCTCTCACCAATCACCACGACCACCCCGATACGCTTGGTGGCGTATCATTGAAATCCCTCGTCGAGCGTCTCTGGAAAAAGAAGGGAGGAAAATAAGTTTGCTGCGCTTTGTGTAAACGATTTCTTTGTCTTTCTTTTTTTCTTTTTCTTTTTTTCTTTTTTCTTTTTTTTCTTTTTCTTTTTTTTTTTTTTTCTTAAAATCATATCTATCTTCGTAAGAGGTCGCCCCGTGGATAACTCGATTCGTTTCGCGCTCGAGTTTCTAATCGCTAATTCTATTTCTTTGCCGTAAAAAACGGTGACGCGGAAATGAAGAGGTTGGAGGTTAAGGGAATTTAATTAAATGCAATCGTGGACGGTAACTAACGCGATGTAATGAGTTTCGAAGGATCTGGTTGGAACTGAATGGTTCAGATTAAATATTAAAGTAGCGGCCAGATAGCTGTTACGCGGAGATGAGGGAAGGAAGAGGTTCGAGTTCGAAGAGGAACGGAACGAGCTTGGATCGAGCGAGCAATCTCTCTCTCTCTCTCTCTGCAAGATTTTTATTTACGAAGAATGATACGGATATAGATTCTGAATTGATTTCAACGAAGAGATAGTTCTATATGTAATACGTTTCCCCATAAATTTACCCGCGATATATAATAATTGTGAAATAAAACGAAGGGAAAAGATCGATATTGATACGAAGATAGATATTTTTCGTCAAAATTCGAAAAAGAAATCTATTAAATTATAGTTTCTTCTGAATACAAAAATATCGAGAATTGATTAGAATTGTCTAACCGATGCTCGAATAAAATGGCAGACAATCCTTCTTCGCAAATCAAACTAAACGAAGACGACCACGCTCCGCGTGTTTAAACACAATGAAACAAAGAAAATTGTTGGAATTGAATTACGAGGGACCATCTCTGGGGTGAGGGGGATTCTAAACGTTCCTCTTAAAACGATTCTACGAAAGGCGATCAGCGGCAGTTGGCTCGTTCGAAAACGAGTGTCGCGGCGCAATCTCTGAATTAAAGGAAAACTTCTCTACTCGAGTTTTTACGAAGTGGAGCGATTTTCTTTTGGAAGGAATCGAAGCCATCCACTTTTTGAGGGGAGGATTGACAGATGGAGGGGCGTTATAGAGTTTCTCTTGGCTTCCAGCGCGAGAAGAAGGGGTGGCAGAAGAGGGATCTTTGCCCGCTTTAGCGGGGCATTCCTCCGTGGAGGAAGACCCTTTTTTTTCTTTCTTCACAAAGACAGAAATCATTTCCTTGTCCCTCAGGACCCTCCATTTTCTCCGCTCTACATATACTTAGGAAGTGAGACTCTCGAGTGATATCGCTGGATTTCGAGCTGTAAATTTCTCAAAGAGGAGATATTTTTGAGGCGATATATATATCAAGAGAGAGCTAATACAGGTGTATATTAATATTTTCCTCTCTATATTCTCGTTGTCGTTTAAACTCTTTAAGGAAACAGAGAGTTTTATTGTTATTTGTCAGTGTTCGTTGTTTAACGATGCACGATAAAGGGAAAATGTTTTTTCGACGGGTAACTTGGTTTTGTGTGAAATTTTGCATTTATGAAATTTTGGAATTTCAAAGTGCAGAGAGGAATCGAGCTTTCGAAAATATTTTGCGTTGAATAAATGCATATTATATTAGTAGGGGATACGTAGAAATTCGCTATGAGAAATAGTGGCGTAAAAACATTTGCATGATCTGAAAAATCTAGTTTATCTTAGTGTCATAAATAATTCAAATTTTTCGAAATTTCGTGCAAATTTTTGTACGAAAGAAAAGATATTTGGAAAATCTTTTTTTCGTGACTTTTAAAAATTGAAAAAATTCGATGATACGTGATAAATTGATCGAGAAATTTCATTAAAAAAAAAAAAAAAAAAAAAGAAAAAAGTACACGTCAAAATTCATATCAAACACGAAATTTTCTATAAACCAATCTTTTCTTAGAAATCTCTTCTCGATTTCAATGTTTCCAGTGATCCATTTCACGACGAACAATTAAATTTTAACAGTTAATGAAGGAACAGTATGCATTTCCTTCGAATTCCATCCTTTCGTCGACAATAAGACGACATCTGAATATGTAAATATGTAAAACAACGAGTTACAATCCTGAGGCAAGTATGACAGAAAGGGGAAATTTCATTCTCAATGGTAACCGACATTTTCCATTCTCGTCTTCTCATCCACTTCCCCCTCCTCTTTTGTTTCCTTTTTTACCATTCTTTTTCGCGTTGTCCATACAATTATTTCTTATTACTCCACGGTCGCGTATAAATCGGGCACGGTTGGCTTTTTCAACTTGCTGGACGCGACACAATTCAAATTTATCCGATGCATCGAGTTAAAATTTCATGCGCAGGCATGACAATGGTTAAATATTTCGATATGGTCGAGTGTATCGTGCAATTTATTCGAAAATGGAACGACGATTGTTTAACGCATACCACGATGGAATATTAATTCGTTCCCAAGCATTAAATTGTATCGCAGTGTTGTGCAAAAAATTACACCCCGCTTCTCGGCTCTTTTCCATTAGAATGAAGTGCATCTATAAAATCCGATTATTCGAAGTTATTTATTGAAAACAGTGAGTGAGAGAGAGAGAGAAAGAGAGAGATACGTGTATGTGTGTGTGTGTGTGTGTGCACAAATAGTTTGCAGGTTCGAAGGGATAATGGTAAGATTGCGAGGCAGGCGAGTGTTTTTTCTTTTCCAACTCTTTCTTTTTCCAATTTCAATTCACGATAGACTATTATTATTAACAATTCTCCGCTTATGAATAATAATTTCAGAAATATTAAACGCCACTTTCTTTGTTATGTTATGCTAATATGCTAATATGATATCCTCATCAGGGATTAATTCAGAAATTCTATCACGAGATTTCGCGTCCATCCGAAAAGGATAATCAGATTTAGATCTGGGTTAATTAATAGCTGCCAAAGCCCCGCTACTTTGTTTCCTTTTAATAAATTTTGTGAAAAAAAAAAGAAAAAAATTTCGAATTACATATACATATACACGTTTACATCGTGTAATAAAATTGCATAAAACCGAATGAAAGGGAACGGATATAAAAATTCAAAAAGTGCAAGTTTAGTTATTATTGTTGATTTCACGCAACAACAATCGTTGCCACGAATACGAGAAATATAAAACGGAGGAAAATATTTTTATGCTCCACTCTCTTAGCCCGATATAAAAAGGGGAAGGAAAAATCCGGGGAGAATAGCGTTATTCGTAGCAAATAAATTTACGCGAAGAATTATTCGTTTCGACGTTAACATTATAACAAACGTCGGGCCATTTACCATTTTTTTTTTTTTACCATTTTTTTTTCTCTATACTTTTGCGTAAAAAAAGAAGAAAAACAATATTACGCCAACAAATTAATCTTAAACGAAAGAATTTCATAAATCAAGGTACATTTATTCGCTATAATATCCGTACTCGTACGTAACTTTTGAAATAAATAGAAATTTTCCGATGGACCGTGTTTTTATCCAAACGTTTCTACATCTCGTTTTTGTTTTTTTTTTTTTTTTTTTTTTTGTATGAAATTTTTGCGGTCATATTAATCGAACGAATACGCGGTCTAAAAATAAATTTAGACTTAAACGTTGCAACGAATACCGTGGTAATGATATCACGGTTAAATTTTTAAATAAAAGATTGACCATACTTCCCGAAGAGTTTAAACGAGTAAGCACTCGTTTCGCAAGTGCTCTTCGCTCTGCGTTATTTGTTACAACACACATCCCTTACTCGTATGTTTCGTTGATTATTAAGAAAAAAAAAATTATTTTGAAAACAAAAACGAATGCTCGAAAATTGCTCTCGAAGGAGAAATTTACGATTGATGACGAAAAGGAAACGTTTCCAAGATACAATATACGCGATCTCTTATAGGATCTAGGCTGGATGGCTTTTCTATCTTGTAAGAAATGAAATTCTTAGCGACGTCTAAGATTGATTGTTCTTACGGTTTACTTGCGCGAAAGAGTACGCGCAAGTACGATGCAAGTACTCTCGGGGAGGGGAAAAAGATGATCCTCGAACCTGGTAACCTTGACTTAGATTAATTAGAGAAATGATGTTATAATTAATTACCCTCAATTGACAAGAAACGAAAACGCTTCTCCTATCCTGTCCTCCAGTAAGTAGAGACGAATTTCTTGTATCTGAGAAATTCTATTGTTCAAATTGTTCCCTTGATACGATATATCTTAGATATTTAACGGATATTTTATCTTAATGAAAATATGTCGTTTCTTTTTATCGTTACAAAGATCTTTTTTGAAATTAATAGAGACTGATAGATCGCGAAATGATACGAAGCTTAAATTGAAATGTAAAATTTCATTTTGAAGGATTTTTTTTTATTGTTAATTTAACTGAAAGGAAAATCATAAAAATTTTTTAAATTATGGGAAATACGTATTGCAATAGGTTAAATTTAAAAATAATCTAAAAAAATGAAAAATAGTCTAATCGGTTTGTAATATGATTTCAGGATATTAGTGTAATTGGTATCTTGATTCTCCAATGTTGAAGCAACACGTTCTTGCAATATTTGAGAACTGTTATTAGGGAATAATCGGTTTATACGTATAGGATATCTCTATCGCGTTAAGTGGTGAAAGTACGCGTTAAAGCTGATAACGGAATGGACTGTGATAAACAAATCGCGGATCTTTAGATTGAGATTTGCATTTTCATAAACGTATCTAAAAAAAAAAATGGAATTAAAACAATGATGTTCTTACGAAAAGATTTCTTAAAGAGAATATTTCGAAAATTAAAAAAAAAAGAAAAAGAAAGCATGGAAAAAATCCA